GCGCAGTGGCAATGCCCTTCAGATTTTTGCGATTTAAAGCTCTTGAGTGGCACTGCAACTACTGTGTACAGGCATGTCGTTGATAAACGACTGGTGATAACCAGGAACACGAGTTGTTCGCCCTGTCACTTAGTATCATAACAAAAAAAGTTAGTTTGTTTCATTGACTTACAATTATATGGACGTCTCGGGTCCGCGCTAAAAAGTGTCATTCACGCTTTAGTCTTCGTTTGTTCGACTGACAGCGAAGCAAGCAAAATTAGACAGTACTGCGATGACTTTACAATTTAAATTCAACGTTTTAGCTTTTTCATATTCCTTCACATGTCACTACGTTTAAATAGGTTGACTTGGGACATTTTTTTCGTGGTTTTTGTATTAGACACGTCGTCCATTTATTTGTTAGTCAATGGTTTGTTTGAAAAAACCAATATACTCGATTTATATCCGAAAAATTAATTTCAATTTCAATGGGTAGCAATCGTGAAAGCCTAAGCGCCCAGTCACAGGACGCGAAAGTTTTTTCGATGCGGTTACCACGCTTTCGTGTGCATTAATGGCGAATCTGAATTCTATTTATTAAGCAACAACATTTAATTTCTTCGGAGTAATACAACCGCGCGGCCGCCGCTTTGACCAAATACAAGCCAGCCTCACCTGCGCAATGAGCGTCTCGTCATTTAAGTTAAAACGTAAAAGCTAAACAAATAGAGTGTACTTTGCCATAACAGTTAGATGCACGCGGCCGCGCGGCGTGTTCGCGATGAATTTCGCATCGAATAAACGCGCCTCAAGAGCTCGATATTTACCTAATTTAATTCAGTATAATACACAGCACCAATAAATATTATACCTATATTAATATTTATAAGCACAAAATTTAATTGAAAAACAAAAAGGACATACATAAAATATGCAAGACGTTTCAATAACACGTGGCAACGCATTGCATAAAGTGCGCTGTGGTGACAAAACGGCCGTAGCTCGGCGTGATTGCTGCTCAATTAGAGCAACACTCCGCTATTCTGTTACGTCCGAAAATGGCAGACAAGGCGAAAATAAAAAGTTATAACAAAAGTATCAAATGTGTATACAATTATGTTTAATTTTATGGTTAGTACTATTGGTTTATGTTCTAAAGTAATGGTAAACTCGAATAAAATTATTAAAACAAAACGTGTTCCGTTTGTTATATGTCCTAAAACACAACGTGAAGCGGACACCGCGTGCAAGGCCAGGTTATATCGGTTCTGGTAAAAATAGTATAAAAAATTCATATCTCTTAATTAAGTAACAAATAGGCATATTTTAAAAATGTTCAAAATCGAAACTTCGACGACTAGACCACGTCTTTACGCACTTACATCATACATTTCAAAATTGTGCAGTGTCTCTTTTAACGTAATTCTAAATAATTACATAATATAAATAAATAATAAACACAATTTATCGTAGATACCAATCAAACACTGGACGTTGTTACTTCAGAAAAAAAATGAAGTTTCATTGATTCATAGTTTAAAAAATATATTATTTTATTTTATTTTAGCTAACTTTGACACTTCATAAAAAGTACTACACTAATCTGGGCAAGTTACGTGAAAAGAAGGCCTATTTCGTCAAGATTTTATAATGGTACAGTCAAGTGCACATCAAGCTTGACACTTTGTACTTTGGACTGTTCTTATCGTAAGCGGCATAGAGTTGGATTTAAGTCTTAAGTGTCAAGCTTGACGTGCTGTTGACCCTGTACAATACTTACTACTGTTCATTCCATTAAAAATGTTTGTTTATTTTATTTGCAAAAGGGCCACATTAAAAAAAAACTCATGATATGATAAAAACAATACTTTTGTGTGCGATAGTCAATTTATGAAGAGAGTACCAAACGATGTAGCTAGGGTAACGATTTTCAACATTTTCAGAAATATGCATTGACTTACAAATAAATGGACGACGGGTCTAATACAAAAACCACGAAAAAAATGTCCCAAGTCAACCTATTTAAACGTAGTAACATGTAAAGGAATATGAAAAAGCTAAGACGTTGAATTTAAATTGTAATGTCATCGCAGTACTGTCTAATTTTGCTTGCTTCGCTGTCAGTCGAACAAACGAAGACTAAAGCGTGAATGACACTTTTTAGCGCGGACCCGACGTCCATATAATTGTAAGTCAATGGAAATATGCCTATTATTACTTAACTAAGAGAAAAGGATTTTTTATTTTATTTTTACCAGAACTGATAAAATCTGGCCATCAGCCCGATGCTTTTTGGGACGCCTGTATATCCATCAAAACTTGTTTGGATTCCTAAAAGAAACTATCAATCACCGATCCGAGCATCTTAATGCGACAAGTCAAAACAAAGAACACACATTATAATAATGGAATAATAATGAACCAAACAACCACACCAATGACCTGTGCTCTTACTAGGGAATTCCCTAAATCATGAGTACCAGATGGAGATCCAAGGTCTCTGCCTACCCCGGTGGGGAATAGGCGTTATGATGTGTATGTATTAGTACCAGAGCCGCATAATTAACTCCGGGGCACTACCCAGACCACCCACACCAGAACCTATTTCAAAACGAATATTTTCAAAATCGGACACACCGGGAGCTCTTCGTCCAGCGCCCATAAAGCAAAACATTGGCCGAGCAAGTCAGAGTAATTACAAATCTACCTACTACTCTGTAGGTAGTAAGTATATCTTAGAGCCTTGAACACCGCCGTAAAGATGCTTATTGATATTCCTCAGGATATATCACGGATAGTATGCGAGGGAATGGCACGATTTAATTCCGCCTTCCACGACGTTGTGGATATTCCAAGGAAGCTCGAAGCGTTTCGTTTCGACATTTATATGGCGAACGGCTGTCGAGTGGAATTCTCTGCCTACAGATTTGTTCCCTGAACGGTATAAGTTGGACCTTTTCACGGCGAGAGTGAATAGACAGTACTTAGGTGTGCAAGCTCCACCATAGACCTCAACTTCACTTTCCATTGTGAGATAGGTGAGATGAAGGTCATTTGACTCACTTGGGCTCTTATTTTTTTTAATAAAAATGGGACAAGTCAGGTCTATTAATCAGAATGTACGTAAAATTTTATTAGTGTAGTGATTGTAGTTTCTTAAATTAGAGCAAGTTTAGTGAAACCAAGTGCACCGATTTTCAAAAATAGAGAAAATTGAACAATGTGCTGTCATCAAATACTTATTTAAAAAAAGATTAACACCGATAGAGATAAACAGTGAAATGGAAACAATATTATGAGAATCAGCTCCATCGTATAAGACTATAAAAAAATTAGTCGCAGAATTCAACTGTGTATGAGAGCATCGAAAAAGACCCTAGGTCTAGCCGGCCCACGGCGTCTACGCTTCAGGAAAACATCAGAGAAATGTGTGATCTCATTATGGAAGTCCAAAAATTAACTATTTTTACAAATAATTCGAAAATCGGTATCTTACATAAACGCTCATGAAACATAATTGTCATCGAACTTGGATTTTACAAGGTTTCTGCTATATGACTCCACTGATTTCTTTCAGTGGACCAAAAGCGCATTCAGCTCACCGTTTCTCGCGACTGTATGGAGTTTGAGACTAGCAAGCAAGATTTTTTTAACCGATTTGTGACTATGGATAAAATCTGGGTTTACCACTACACACCGGAGTACAAACAATAGTCGAAGCAGTGGTAAAAATCTGATTAATTGACCATAAATAAAGCGAAAGCAGTTTTGTCGGCTGGCCAGGTGATGGCGTCAGTTTTTTGAGATATTCAGGGTGTCAACATGGCAGACTACACTGTGAAAGGCGAAATCATTAACTCAGTATAATATTGCATCCTTTTGCGTCGTTTGCGCGAAAATATTAAAGAGAAGCAGTCAGGATTAACAAAAGAGTAGTTTCATCAGGATAATGCTCGCGGCCACACATCTGTCGAATTCATGGTTAAAATTCCTTATTCTGGTTTCGAATTACTACCCCACCCGGTTTATGCTCCTAGTTTATCAACTTGGGACTTTCATTTGTTCCCAAACCCAAAAAAACACCTCACTCGCCAGAAATTTTCATCTAATGAAGAAGTCGAAGCAGCTTTAAATAGGTATATTGAAGATCTTGAAGTATCTTATTTTTGAACTAGTGTGGAAGCTTGGAAAGCAGGTGGAAGTGAAAGTGAAAAAAATAATGCATTGAGCTAGCTGGAGATCACGTCAAAAAATAAACATAGTTTTATAAATATTTGACTTTGTTTTTTTGGTTAACCCGGAATTTTTCATTCCATCCATTAATGCTTATTTGTAATGTCATAATTTAGTAATTCCATGAAAGTTACTTATTAAAGATCTTTTTACTAAAATACGAAGGTACATAATATTCCCATGAAAGTTACTTCTTACAGATCCTTTTACTAAAAAACGAAGGTACATAATATTTCAACAAATAACAATTTTTATTAGAGAGTAACATGAGAATCACATTCACATTAGATTTCATATTCACATTAGAAGTCATTGCCTGAAACCAGCACCTAATCATTACAGAATTCCGAGAAGTGCTACATTAATTAAATTACGCCTGGGGGAACTAATCAGAACACCTACACTAGAACAAACTAATAACCTTAAATACATTGTGTAATTCGACCTAGCTCCAAATTAATAAAATGAAAAACTGATGAAGTAACAAAAATTTAAATATATAATATAACGATAAAAATAATATAAGTCGAACTGCGTTTCTGAATAAACAAAAGTTTTAAGTAGAAATAAGAGAAATTGAAACAGAAAAATTAATCCTTTCAGCTGAAAAACTTCACAATAAGAACAAAATGTAAATTGAAAATAAAATTTAGTGAAGAAAAATGCAAAGAATTTTAATATTAAAGAGTGAACGTACTGGGTGAATGATAGTTGTTACAATTTGATTCTAGGTATCATATATATTTTTTAAATATCGGTTCGACATTTTTTTTCGTCGTTATTACCTGGAATAAAACCTCTCCTTCAAAGTACGTGAGATGATATTTCCTCGTCCGCAACAGAATGCCGACTAGCTTATCTGAGATCACTGTGTATATCTGAAACAAATAGAAAATATATTTGTACAACATATGTAAATATAAGTTACGATGTCATCTAGAAGACTTTGTAGATATAAATGTTTATAATAATATAATATTGTATAATAAAATTATAATAAAATGCATTGTAATACGTATACATCTGTTGTATGTAATTTAGACTATAATTATATAATACATGTATACAAAAATAATCATTTATTGGTCCAATATAATATTGGCAAATTTTTTGTACACAACTTTTGCGTGAATTTTATTTATTATGTTTTGTCACTATTACAATTTCATTATTATGAAAAGAAAGAGAAATTGTAATAAATACAATTTTATGAACATGTAAGAAGTAAAAATATATACACAATTATACGACACCAGATTATAGCTGATGTAGCAGTCATTTCACGTGCCAATGTGAAATTTATCTCATAGACATTCAGGCACGCCTTAGTTCAAGCAATATAATGAAGTAGTATCAAACAGTGTAAACAGGTATATGTAAACAGATCAGTATACATAACGTTCTACTATTATAGGTCACGTAGACGGGAAATACTTTAAATATTGTAGACATTTGAGACATTATTTTATTTATAAAAGGATTTGCAATAGATTTTTGTTCTAAAAAACTAATCTAACCAGAAAAAATACCGCCCCGTATCGTATCTGGCTCCCATTATACTGGCAGTATTGCCTCGCTTGACGGTAATGGAAACTTGCTGACCCAACCATAGAACACAACCCAGAGCGATTACTGGAACCCCTGTCCCTGAATCGGCGACCCAACTCTTTATAAGTCCCGAGCTTTCGAACCCCAGGGCCCCGCCGTCTGGATCGCGACCGGTATGAAGTCGTACTTCGGCTCCAAGGCAGTTTGATTTTTAAAAGTAATGCTGCATTCAAAGATTTTCAAAACTTGACAAATAATTAAAAAAATCTACATTTTTATGATGCCGATCGAAAGAAAAGGATTCATTCCGTTCAAGTAACATACGAGTAGTATCTTACAATTTATTATACAATTTATTCAAAAAAGAAATAAACTTGAAATTGCTATTAATTTAACAATGTTCGAAATATAATACATTGTCTTGTATACAAAGTCAGTCTTTCCCATTTCTTTTTCCATCATGGCACAGTAGTCTTCTAATTAAATCTATTTTAAACAATTTTTTCTATGCGAATGACCAAATTGAATATAACCCGAAAAATTAACTCAAGAACGCCCTCAATTTTCAACGCGTAACAATTTTAACTATAAAAATTATTTACGTAGTTTCAGAATTTCAAGTCATTTTTGAAGGATCTAAGTTAAGGGACTTTTTGAACTTATTTTTCAGTAATAGGTTATATTTTATTATTAACCTCCTGCTCACTCAGATAGCTTTTTTGGAATATTATTATGAAACTTTAATGAATTGTTGTTAATTAGAAAACATAGGAAATATAAAATATTTGTAAATGAAAATCAGATTTTCACTATGTACAGGACAATGTGACTACATTAAGATGTCCTTTAAAGAGGAAAAAGGCATTTTGAATTGTTATAAGTGGAATAATTCGCAGTAGGTTATATTTTATTATTAAAAGGCTATGTTAAAATACCGTGCAATGAATTTTTCCGCGTCTATTTCACACGCCTGAAAGCCTACACAACCACGATACCATTTAGCTTTAAGCGAACGACGAAATTCGGTTTTATCGTCGGCCGGTTACGAGTCGCGCTCTCCACGGAAAAGCTACAAGAATAACGACTTTTACGTCCTTATTACCATAGTCATAAAATATTTTGACAAACTTAAGCTGACTATTGTAGCCAATAGGTTGGACTGCGCCACTTAAGCCCACTGGATTCATTTACATGTAGGATAGGTGGGTTAGCCTGTGACATTATTTTATTTAGCCTGTAATAGTCATAAAGTGTTTTGACTAACTTAAGCTGACTATTGTAGCCAATAGGTTGGACTGTGCCATTTAAGCCCACTGCTTTCATTTACATGTGGGATAGGTGGGTTAGTCTGTGACATTATTTTATTTAGCCTGTAGGCGGTATTGTGTTGTGCATGCTAAATTTCTTCTTTCTACTTCTGTAGTTTAATTTGTCAATTATAATTTCGTAAACCATATCATAAACTCGTTCTTTTTAGTTTTGAATCATAATCCAATTGTCTATGAAAAGTTTCCTTAAAGTTCTATACAAAGAACTATGACAAATTTCAAAAAAGAACATAGTATTTTTTCCATCCTCTAAGTATTTTTTTTTAATTAAAACATCAATTAAGACGCTATTCAAACGCTATACTGCCTCCTGATTGGTTAAATTGGTCTGAAAGCCTTGCAACCGGCGGGCGTAAATTTTTATAAAAAAAATTATTGGTTGAAATATATGTGGTACTTGGCCAGTTCTAATCAATCTCTTTAGTTTTTTTAAATAAATGAAGAGGCTGTATGGTGGAACCTTTGCCTACCCAAATTTTTTTTTGCATGCATTTAAAAAAAATATTTAAAAAAAGCGCGAATGTTATCATAGATTGATAACAAAATATACATTAAATATTGGTTCTGTTTCATTATTTTATTTGCACGTGGAAAAGTATTGTATGCAATCATTACATAATTAGGTTTTAAAATCCCGCAACTATTACTAGTACTAAACACTCATTTTGCAACGATTGCATGATAGTAGATTGTTCAACAAGTGCATAAAACGCGTCATTTTACCCGAGACGAGTATGGATACTTAAGTCGAGGGTAAAATGGGTTATAAGAACGAGTTATACACTGCTTTTCACTTCGATTGAATATAATATATAATTGATAATTAAAATTGAATGTAAAATGACAACAATTAGACATACATATTTAATGTGATGTTTTTTTTTATTTTATGCACTAGATCGTAAAATCCTGTTTTATGCAGCCTACACCCAGCATAAATACGAACTTTAAGAGCATGTGAAGTGAAAAATACAATTAATTTGTGTAATTTTATTGAATATCATGATATTTTTACTTCAATGACATTTATGCCTTTTTGGGAAAATACTCCACTAGTTTGTTATTAATATTGATAAAAAGGTCGAACAAACACAAAGAACGGAATCAGGCACCATCAGCATGCCATATACACCGCACATACATTATTTGATTTAAGTAGTAATTTGATGTTGTTTATTCAAATTGTATTATATTAGTATATTATTTTGTGATTAATATTTGTACATTTATTATATGTAATATTGATATGAAACTGATTGCAAATGTCATTTTCAATTAGAATTAAGCTAATTTCGCGTCGTCTGGTTCAGTGGTAACTTTTGTCATTAAGCAAACTTTTGAATTCCATAATACTTTACTGCTTCCATGGCCAAACAGTTACCATAGGAGACTGCCGCGCAGAGGTCCTTGGGTTCGATTATCGGGCCGGGAGAAATACTTGTATAGCCTACATTTACTTGTCTCGTGAGTTTGGGTGTAATTTGTTGTTGTCCATGGCACTCGCGATATAAGGTTTCCCTAGTGCGGAGCTCTGAATGTGTGCATTATTATTAATTAATAGTAAATTGAATTATTACTTTTAATTATTAAATTATTTCATTTCATTTTATTATTAATATTAATTGTGCATTGAACATATATGTGAAGTAGTTGTAGAGAATCGTGTGAAAGAGTTAGTTCAGGAAAGTATTGCCACCTTACCTGTTTCTGCCGCCAAGTAGTAGGTAATGTGAGCATTATTGTGTTCCGGTTTTGAAGGGTAATAAGGGTGCTGGTGAAATTACAGGTACGTGGGACTTGTCAACTTATGTCTCATGGGCGCAGTAACAGTGCCTCTCAGATCTATGTGATTCAAAGCTCTGAGTGGCACTGCAACTTGTATGGATAGGCGTGTAGCTTACCATCAAGCACACTACTTGTTCTTACCGTTACCGTTACCTTATATTAAAAAAAAAATTAGTCCTTCGTCACTACAGCTTTCACACTAGTTTCTTGGTTTTATTATAAATACAAGAAAAGAAATAGTACTATAAACTAAACGCATTGCACAAATATATTCAATATACTCGAGTTTAGCAAATTTAATAAACACATAAAACTCAATAGAGACGTATATAATCATATAGAAAAGCAAAAAGACCAAAGTCTTTATATTAATAGCTTGTCCTGATTATAGAGGTGTTTCAATTATATGTCAAAGGTTTGATACAATTTCATACATTAGTATTTTCACTACATCTTGTTTACCAAATCAGTATATTTTAGCATTTTGTCGATCAAAGAACATTATGTGCATTACATTATAATTTCAAATACAGCAATTTAAAGGTCATTGGACGCATTTTCAGTTAAATGAGTTATTTTAAAACACCTTTCTAGAGACGGCAGCACGATGAGTTTCATGTTGACGAATCTTATTCCGTTGCACTGGAGGCGATATTCAAATAAAAGTGCAAAGCTTGGTGCATCATCTATCAGGGGGCAGCACTGGGTAAGAAGATGCACAGGAGTTTCATCCGTCTCAGGTCAGAATCTGCACTGTACTGCCACTATACCTGTTATTGCTGCCAAGGATTAATGTGAGCGCTTCAATTTTAAAGGTTAAGAGTGAAATTACAGAGACATCTGACATCCTTGCGATTTTAAGCTGATAATGGCACCACAACTGTTTTCAAGTATCCTTCAGTACCTTATATAAAATAAGGCATAATCTAAACATCACGTCAAGCGTATACAAGTCGAAATAAACACGAATAAGGATTTATCGAGTCCAATTTAAGCACCGTATGGCACCCCTTAGCCTACATATAGACGCTGGCTCTATGCGTGTGTTCTACCGCCTTTATAATGGGGAGTGCCCTGAGGAACTATACGAACGGGTGCCAACGTCTCGTTTCTATCATCGCACCTCCCGCCATGCATTGCATTGTAAGACCACGTGGGCATCTCGTTGGTTTCTTCCTCGAACGATGCTCGATGTGGAATAATCTTTCTCCTGAAGT